CTCTCTTCTCTCTCTCTTCTCTCTCTCTCTCTCTCTCCTCTCTCTCTCTCTCTCTCTCTTCTCTTCTTTCTCTCTCTCTCTCTTCTCTCTCTCTCTCTTCTCTCTCTCTCTCTCTCTCTCTCTCGTCTCTCTTCTAAGGGGATTACAATTATGTCATTCCAGGTCCGGCCGGGACGGAAATTTCGGTAAAGTAATCATAGCTAAGTAATCTTTCCGTGTCGGCATACAGTCCAGCACGGTATCACTGGAAGCTCTCACCTTCACACTATTCGTTATTACTTACAAAATATTTTTATGTCACACACCTCAGTAAGTTTATTTTTATTGACGCACATCAGCTCCAAAGCGGGGTACCCTCACTTCGGTAAAATTAGTGTGCTGCGTATTTAGAGTACTCACTATCGGAAGTCTGGAGCCTACCAGAAATCACTACACCCTACACAAACACGAGAATATGCGAGGTAAGTGTGGGTTGCCACAAAAGTCCCGGCCAAGCTCGACGATCGAACTTTGCGTGGGCCCAAAAGGAGAAGTGTGGCCGTCGCCTCGTTTTGTAACAGGCCGGGTCTTCGTTTCGTGGCGTACGCATGCGAATGCAGCTTCCGTCCCGCCCCCGTCTCTAGTTGAGGACTTGTTGTTGTTTTTCGGACGCAAAATAGGTCAAAACATGTGTTGCTAACTCTTTGAATTGTTCTCAGAAGTCACAAAGCCGGGTATCTGACATATATATTTCCAAAGACGAGTACACTTCGTTTGCACAGACACACAATTCCACCTTGGACGTCGTAAGTGCAACTAAGTGGAGAGTAATATTGAGTAATATTTAGATATTTTGATATTTATAATTTTTAAATGAAGTGCACCAAGTAACTCTTGTCGACAAGTATGGACCCGCTTCCAATGTCAAGTAAATTTACTTTCTATTTGCAATGAGGTGTGAGTACCAAAGTCAGGTGGAATTCTTTATTCTGGCTGGCAGCCTTCGTCACACAAAATTTTTTTTGAAATAACTGGTGCTCATGTGAAAAAATATTTCTTATATCAGATTTGTGTCTTTACTGAGGCATTTCGACGTCTATCTTGGTATTCCTTTTACTTACGTTGACTAAAATAGGCGCACCAAACGAATACTTCGTCCGTGCGTTTTGCCAAATGCAGTACTGCGTTTGCTACTGCACGCTACTGAGTAATGGTTAGTCCTTAGACCCGTCACACTTTTTTCTTCGGCCTTGATTTGGCTTCTTGGCCAAGACTTGCGACTTTTCGAGATCGTGCGCTCGAACTGCGTCAACGCAACCACCCACTTACCTCCATACTCACTTTTTACAGACTGGAAACAGGGAGGGGGACAGAACAAATAAATCTTTTTTGTTCTTTCCTTCACATTATGGACTTGGTGTCTTGAAAATTCACACACCACACAAAACAAGATCGTGTCTCGATTCCTACGGACTTCACAAACTAACTTACGTTATAGTACATACTATTATACGTAAGTTACTACTCTCTCTCTCTCTCTCTCTCTCTCTCTCTCTCTCTCTCTCTCTCTCTCTCAAGAATGGACGGTTTGCATATGAGGAAGTGTCAGCTTCTCTGTCCCCCTTCCTTTGTTGCTCACAGCTGGTTACTGACACATGACAGAGTCACAGAGGGAGTTAGGCAGAGCGTGAGTACCAACTGCGGCGGGACAAAGAAAAAAAAAGAGTGAGAGTGTTATAGAGAGTGAGCAATCAAATGAATGTAGAAGAGATTTCCGCCGCTCCCTCTTCTCATCCTCTCTTATCTACACATAATTCAACATCTTAGCTAACACTTGGCACCTGCTGCCATCGGCATTTTCCAGTTTTATCGCTCATAAATCACCTGGCTGGCCTTTAGGGCCTTTACATATCTGAACTGCACATCTTGCTCCGTGTGTTTATGCACTGTAGTGTGTGTCGGGGTCTGATCTGATGGTGTGTGTGTGAGTGTGTGTGTATATATACACTTAAAGGTTACTGCACTTTTACACTAAAACAAAAAAAATGATCTGAAATGCAGTATACAGGCCTGTCTGGCCCTTGTGACCGCTAGATTCTTCAGTGGGGATGCAACATAAGCCCTATGTAACAGCTGGACCCTTTAGAGGGGAGTAGACGCTTGATGAGTGATGTTATCATGATGATTGATAGCCGATGTGCACAAGCTATTTATCAAGAACTTTCATGTGGTGACTTTCCTATGAAAGGGATCCTATTTCCGATGATAGCTACAATGAGCAGTGATGCTCATTGTAGCCATCATTTATAGTTTGAGGTGTTTATTTAACTCACCAGCCTGAAAACCATGTGTCTGCTCATCACTATCAAAACAAAGGAAACGCCCTGCAAGTTTAAAAAAAAATGTCCACTAACTTCTCT